GTTTAGCCTCATACTTGACCTGAAATAACATGTAGGTCCTACCTAAATTATGCTTGCTGTCTGTTTTAGAGCTCATTACACTCGTTTCCTCTTTGCACTTAGCACAGAAGTAGGCTGCATTTCCCAGCCTCCTGTGCAGGTAGGGGTAGTCATGTGACTGAATTCTAGCCAGTGTGATATGTGCTACTTCCAGGCTGGACCACAGAAACACTCCATGTGTAATAGTTTCTACTTTTTCTTCTTTAGCTGCTGATCCTTTGCAGAGAAATCTAAGGACCAGGCCACAAGAGTGAAACCACAAGGTGGAAGAAGCTAGATTTCCTGAATGACACGTGGAAGGCAGCCTGTCAGTCAGGGATACTTTGTGTGAGTAAGAAATAAATTTATATTGTCTTTGTCTTACAGCAGATAACATGCCCTAACAAATTCACCCTTCAAATTAAAGCCTAAAATAGAACTACAAGAGTAGTTTGATCACATATGCCATATGTAATCAAATAGCATAACTTTATTCTTAAGGAATCTATTAAATGATATCCCCTATGTTCTTTATTGATAACCTGGATGTAGACATTAATATTTTCATCAAATTTAAAGGAGATACTAGCACTCCAGGAAAAGTTAAAATAGTAAATGATATTCAACAATGCCATAGACCCAAGGTGTCTTGATGTCAGCAAGGCATTTGACAAGGTGTTTACAATAAAATAGTGAATTAGGGACACCCCTCAATGAAGTCAAAGCTGCTTAAACAATCATACCCCAAATGATTAATGGACACATTTAAGTCTGCAGGGGGTTCTGCAATTGAAATATTGGGCTAGTCTCTTAGTCTTGTTTTAGTCAACATTTTTTACCAATGTCTTGCTTAAGGATAGAATAGGTATGCTGATCAAGTGTGCTAGTGACATAAATCTGGAGGGGATAGAAATAAGATATGAGAGAGCTGACAGAATCAAGATTCAAAATTATCTTGACATGCTGCAATGCTGGGCCAAAACTAACAACATGAAATGTAATAAGGATAAATGCAGGGTCTTGTTTTTAGGTTTTAAAATGAATTATAGGAATAGAGGATGGAGAACATGTAACTTGGCAGCTGTTGATGTAAAAAGGCCCTGGGGGTCTTATTTGAGCAAAAGCTCACTTTGCGCCAGCAGTGTGATGTGGCTGCACAACCTGAGCTGCGGTAATGGAAGCATTGCGTGATCATCAGGAGACATTAGGCTCGCACTCCTCTAAGGAAATCCGGGGTCTTTATTTTAAAGTTCTGTGTATGTTGGAAGAGTGACAAACTAGAGACTACACAGAAGAGGTGATGAGGATGGTGAATCAAGATGTCCCTGTCTCTGCACCCATAGAACACTGCTAGTGACGTTTTCGGTGTTACATCATTCTTCCAGCTTTGCATGATAGTCTGTTTTCTCCACTGGATTACCAGCTCTGTTAATAAAGGAATAATAATAATAATAATAGCACCAGCAATGGTTAGAGGCAACATTGATTGAGCTCTTCCCTTGTGGCAGGCACTTCTCTAAATACTTTCCATGTATCATCTTATTCCACCTTCCTGGTAGCCCTGTGAAATGGATTCTACCAATGTCCCCATTTTACAGATGAACGAAGGCATGGTGGGGTTAAATCCCTCAGCAAATGGTATAATCATGGAATAAACTCAGGCAATTCGACTCCAGGTCTGGTGCTCTTAACCCACATGCTATCTGCCTTATCCAGCTGTGCAACTCCCCTACCGCAAGCACTCAGTTAATGCTCATTTTAATGGGGAGCAGAGAACCACACATAGAAACCAAGTTATGGAAAGAGCCATGGAGGGGTAGCACTGCTCCTTGATTAGAGCTGGGACTTGTCTAGCGTTCATTGCATATCAGGAGAGAAATACACTTAGGAGGTTTGGGCGCCTGTACTAAGTCACATGAATAATAATGTTCTATTTTATAGTTAGTTTTTATTTTTTATACAAGCACCATTGACATGTAGCCTGATGTTAGTGTCAGGTGTCAAAAGCCTTTTATTTATTCTTATTTTTTAATATATTTTTTATTGTTGAGAGTATTACACTTTTAAACAACCTTGATGTCCTTTAGTCTTCTGTATCATCTTGTGAATTAAACATGGCAAACTTAGAATGAGTAAACAAGCCCAGAAAGGTTACATTTGTTCACCCATCTATGTATTTATTCAACAAACATTTATTAAGTGCCTATTATGTTCCAGGCACTACAGCATGCTCACAAGAACCTTGTAAAGTAGGTGTTATCTCCATTCCACAGATAAGGAAATGGAAGTCCTAAGACTGCATTAGCACTAGCACTGTCACACACACACACACACACACACACACACACACACACACACACACGATGTAGGTATAAGATACGTCTGGGCCCCCATTATGTGTCTTTCAAAGGATGGGATTGGAACAGTCATTTCCTCGCTGCCTCATTGTCAAATTTCACAAATTTCAAAGGAATTATTATTCCTTTGCTAGAAAGGAGTTTCCATGATATCTGATTAGTAGTTGAGTAACTAGTAGTTGAGCTCTTGGTGCCCAATATGGTGTTCTTACCATGAGACATATTAAAAAAAAAACAAAAAACAAAGTGACTTGTGCAAAAGAGAGTCATTACTAGCAGTAGGGGCGAGAATAGAAATAAACACCTCTTAAAAAATGAGATCACCCTTGGAGAATGCTTTGAGATCTTTGGGAAAATGTGATTGGGGGTGGGTGGAGCGTGCTGGGACACCTTCCTTCTGTGGGTTCCAGACATTCCAGGCTCCTAGCCTCCCAGCTGTGGAATGTCCTGGAATGTGCTCGAATCAGTGTGGGTTGTCGGGCCTGGGTGCAATGAGGCTTGGCTAGCAGGGTCTGGTCTAGACCCACCTGAGATCTCTGGTGTGGTTCAGCAGCCCCCAGAGCTGGGAGGTGCAGAAACTAATAGGAAATGCAGAACTTGTTACTGCAGGGCTCCCTATGAGCAGAGGTCAGCCTGGAGCTAAAAGATCATAGTGGTTCATCTGTCTGTTCTTAACAAAAGAATAATAACAA